GATGGGATAGAAACCAGAGGCCCTGACTAGTTATTGAAAGACATAACATTTTGAAGAAGTCCATATGTTAGCTTTTCCATGTTCACCCTGTTCCAATTTGGATAATTACATTCTGACTCCTTAAAGCAGGGTGGCTGACCTGCCTGGCCCTACCAGCTGTATATCCAAATCTTCGTGTGGCCCAGAGCAATACAACACAACCCACATAATTCAAAGAGCTGAAAGAAAAGAGGATCTCCAGGAGAGGTTCATGGAAAGACTCCCTTCCCTGAATGAGAGCAGATCCACAGATCATAACACAGTTTGACAGCTTAAAGGACTGGTTATTAATAGTGAAGTACCTAGTAACATACTAGTTACTAATAGTAACCTGCATTTCTGTTTTATCATTAACAAAGGAAAACATTCTACCCCTGACAGCACATGGAGACTGGGCTTGCCCTAGAATCAAGCAAGAGAAGACGCTGAAAGTTCACATTCTCCACTTTTCCCTTGGAGATCACTGGAGCTCTCTGACCCTCTCCTCTTTTCATTTGTAATGTCTTAATGGTGCTTCACTGTGCATAGCAAATCTTGGTGACCACAGAATCCCAAACCACAGAAAGAGTGGTATCTGAGACTTCATCAGCTTCCTGACACAGCAAAGAAGAGGAGAAGCATGTGCTGCACACGGGTTTTTCACCAGGGACACAGTAAATTTTCCCAAACCCAAGATAAGATGCCATTTCCAAATGGAAAGACAAGCAGTGGCAGCTCCAAGCAGCCCCAAACATCTGGCCTATTTTGCATTTCAGATGCCAGTCTGACCCAATGATGGTATCAGCAGCCACTCTTCTGGCCCGCACATGGGCAGCCCTGTGCCAAGACACTGGTGTCTGGTGAAGCTAGTTCTCCAGACTTCGTGGATGCAGAGGGGAACTGATCCTGTCCCCATCTCTTCACAGGTGCTGGTGGTGCCTGGGCCATGATGCAGAGCTGTGAGGGCTGCCAGAGGCACCAACCCCAGGGGCAGAAGACAATTATGGCTGGGGATGTTCTGCGTGGCTGAAGGTGCCCACCCTTGGGAGTCTGTGGCCTGAGGGCTACCAGGGAAGCTGGCAGGGGGATGTGGGCAGGCAGGGGACAGGAAAAGGAGCAGAGAGGACCTAGGGCACCATCTGGTGGCTTCACTCACTGCCTACCCCAAATCCCAGTCTCACAGGGTCACAGTATTGCATGGCCAAGGGCTGAAGAAACACTAGGTCTTT